GCTACAGTTACGACCTCTACATCCTAAACCAGAGAAACGGGCACTGCGTACCAGCTGAAGAAGTCATGGCAACATGTCCCAGCGAATGGAGGCCAACCGCTGTCCCACGACTTGTTTTAATTTTCCAAAATGAAGCAAATAAACCGGAAGAAAAAAATGCTACTCCATGAGACAGACCGGGCTTGACAGCCGGCTGCCCCGATGACGAGATCTGAAGAGAAAGTTCATACTTTGCTAGTTCACTTAAATATAGCTGCCCCCTTCTCTTTTCTGATGTCATTTGTATGATTCAATTTTGCTTTGGTTTCTGCTTTTACAAACCGTTCGCTCCTGCAGATAGTGACAAGTAGAGGAACTAAAGGAAATGCAGGATAATAAACAAACGAAAAGCATGACATAAATCAGGCACACAGTGATGTTTCCTTAAGGCGGATATGTTGAAGTGTGGTTTGTCGTTTCTATTCTAGGTCTAGAAGTTTGTAAAAAAAGCACGAAATATCTTTCCAAGTGCTTTAATGATAGGAGAAAACATAAACGATTACACGTGGGTGCTGGATGATGACGCATTCCTTGTTATTTCCAAAGGGATCCCATAATGCTCTGGAGAGTCCAACGAGATTTTTCCATCCCCTCCAAAGCACATCTGGGATGACAAAGGCGGGGATACCTGAGGATCCAGCCGCACATCTCATCAGAGGAAACATTACTAACTTAACACCAGTCCGGGATGCGACAGTATTTCTGTCTACATTTATCTCGAGAGAAACTCTTCACTGCCATTATGTAATTGTAAATTATTTTTTTAAAAGAGTTCTGCCAAAAAAAACCCATTAGAACTCATAAAGGAATTCAGCAAAGTTACAGGATACAAAATCAGTATACAAAAATCCGTTGTATTTCTGAACTGTCAGAAACGTAAATTAGTACGGCTACTAAGGAACACAGTAGGTAGGATCCCTGAAGAATTTAAAAAATAGAACCACCAGATTACCCAGCAATGCCACTTCCGGTTCTATAACTGAAGGAAATGGGAAAACTATTTTGAAGAGAGAGCTGCACCCCCGTGTTCACTGCAGTATTATTTATAACAGCCAAGACACGGAAGCAACGGAAGTGTCCATCAACCGACAAAAAGAAAATGTGAAAATGTTATTTATATAAAATAACCATAAAAAAAAAGGCGGGGGGAACTCTGCCTTTTGTGACAACATGGATAGACCTTGAGGGCATTCTGATAAGCGCAATAAGTTAGACAGAGAAAGACAAATACTTTATGTTCTCACTTAAAAGTGGAATCTAAAAAAGTTAAACTCGTAGAAATAGAGGGTGGAATGGTGGCCGCCAGAGGCTGGAGGATGGTAACAACCAGGAGATGTTGGTCAAAGGCTGTGAAGTAATTGGACATTCATTATCTCCTTTGATTTTTATACTTTTTTTGGTATCTTCTGTTCCAAAATGATGAAATTGGTGGCCAGAGTACTGAAGTGACCACTACAAGGCCACACAGTGGGCTGGCTACTGACTCCCAGCCTACCACGCTTTGTTACATCAGCAATGTTTTTTTTATTTAAAAACTTTTGGCTAATTATACCTTAGATAATAATTAAGAATTAAAGTTATAAAGTAGTAGCTTTATTACCACAAAGTGCTACTTGTATTTTTATCATGCCTTTCTACCCAAGAGCTCGCGTGTTATATGATACGGTCCTGTCCGTAGGTCCCTTCAGATACTAAACTCTCAAAGATGACTCTGAGATAAACTCGGAACCCACTAATATCCCAAAGCTCTCAGAAGCAAAAAAATTAAGAATTAAAGTTATAAAGTAGTAGCTTTATTACCACAAAGTGCTACTTGTATTTTTATCATGCCTTTCTACCCAAGAGCTCGCGTGTTATATGATACGGTCCTGTCCGTAGGTCCCTTCAGATACTAAACTCTCAAAGATGACTCTGAGATAAACTCGGAACCCACTAATATCCCAAAGCTCTCAGAAGCAAAAAAAAGGAAAAGTGCGGTTACTGCGACGTCACCTCTGCTGCGTCCTAACAATCGCACAGAAGAAGCTGCCATCGGTAGCGCACTGCCCCCGACCGCAGGTGTCCGCGACCCTCGCTTCCGCCTGGCCCCTCGCTTCGCTCGCTCAGTTCGTAGTACTGTACAATACTTTTTGTATTACAGAAAGCACTTTATTTAGACATGTCGACTTCACTGATTAGTCTATAAATACTTGACTTTTACCAACTGCTCTTTGGCAAGCGAGATAATTGCAGAGGAAAGGCCAAGGCATTGATGGTCGATCCGATGACGCAAAGGGGATGTGGTCTTTCGGCGGAGGGAGATGTAAAACGTTACGTGGCAAGGCAGAAGCCATTAACGGGATCAATATTTCTTCTAATACCTTAATCAATCATGACATCAGAGCCTAGACGCAGGACAAAGAAAGCCTCAGTCTACCTACATGGAAGAGTCCCAAGTGGAAAATAAAATCCTATTTGCATCACAAAGACTTAATTGGTGCACAAAGGAAATGACAAGTTACAAGGCTCCAAATTATGGATGCGTTACTAGTTTTTGAATCATTAGTGCAGGAAGAGAAGCAGAAAGACAAAGAACACTGCTCCTCTCTGGGCTGCACATTTATAATTTGCAGCTGGTAAATATGCATGAATCTGCTTGGCTGCAGCCAGGGATGACGTACTGCTTTAAAGAGACAGTACGGAGCAGAGAGACCAGAGCGGAGGGAGGCTCGGGGGTTACAAACGACCTCCTCCCCCGGTCCACAGTTTTCAATCTTCCCCAAACTCCCCTTCCTTAATCTTCTCTCCTTAGCGGGTGGATTCCTAAAAGTACTTTGATGCCACATGGACATCCGAAGCATAGCAAAAAGTGTCCCGTGGTGAGCTCTAACTGTAAATAATAGTTATTTATTTCTAAACCCTTAAGCTCTCACTGTCTCTTCGATGCTTCCAGGAGAACAAGCGAGCAATTAAGAAAAAGGTACCAGGTTTAGTTGTCCAATCGTTTTAACTACAGAACAAAATTTTTTTCTTTTCTAATAAGTAGCAAAAGACCAAAGAAACATCCATACAGAGAACATCAGGCTTTCCCTTAAGGACACTGTATTTCCTTATTGATAGAGATGACAGTGAGTATAGACACTATTTGAACCCTTCTACAACTTTTATTTTGTACTTAGAATGTTTAATTTAAAAAAAAATATTTTTTCTTACCAGTTCAAATTACTTTACTGCAGCTCTCTCAACTCTCAAAGCCAGTGAAAGCTGAGAACTCAGCGGTCACACCAGAAAATTTGTTTTGAAAAGCCATAGCGACAAGAGAAAGCAGGCTCCCTATAACATCTCACAATATTTATCCATAATCGATTCTTTCTTCCATTCGACAAGCATTTATCAGACACTTCAATCTTAGAGGTAAGTTTAATGATAATTATATCAAAGAAGGTTCTACCTTTGACGGGCTGGACAATCTAGTTAGGTATATAAGGCACAAAACGCGTAAAAAGTTAAATGGCATCGCACCGTTTAAATTGTAATCCACGATAAAAGTTGATTGTCATAGCGCTGTATATATGTACATGCCACGGAAAGGCTATAGTCAAAGTTAAAGAAGAAATCTCTGTTAGCAGAGGGGATTTTTCAAGGGAAGCGTAGAAGACCGGAGCTGAACAGGCTTCGAGTAGGTGAAAAACATGAATGACAAACATTTCAATCAGCAGGAAACGAGGACAAGTAGCTAAACGCACGCAGCACCCCACGAACAGAAAGGAGTGTGCGTGGGGGGACCTCCCCGTGAGAGGGGCAGAGGCGGCAGGGAGGGCATGGGAGGGGCAGCTCGGTGGCTTTGACTGATGTGGCGTCCAGCGGCCCCCAGGACCAGGAGGTTTGCTCGGTGCTCGGAGAAGCCTCCTCCGCCCTGCCCAGCCCCAGCCCCGGCCCCGGCCCGGGAACACTCCTGAGACGCTGCACAGTTCGACCCGCTGGGTTCCAACGGCTCCAGGAGTTGGGCTAATAGCAGATTCACTCCGTGGCTGACAGGAGAGCAAACAGGACTGGGGAGAAACGAGGGAGAAGGAGTCTCGTGGGTGAGGAGGTCGCGGCTGACGGGGTCTACCCTGCTTCCCAGAACTGCTGCTCTCTCCCGGACTCGCAGCGTCCCCTGCCTTAGAAGGTTCCAGAATCCTCGGCCGGCATCCCACCGGGTGGGAGGGGGACTGCACGCGAGCCAGGGCCACGTGGAAGGTGGCTGCCCCCTCCGCTGGCCACGAGCACCTTGCCGACTTCTTTGGGTTTTCAGCCCAAAGCCCACGGGCCATGTGCTGATGACCGGGCTTGACTGACCTCGTCCCCACGGCGGCCTCCGGTGTGGCTGGAGACTGGGTGTCCTCGTCCCCGCAGCAGTTAATTTGAAACCAGTTGGCTGGTCACTGGCTCCTTCGAGGCGCGGCAAGGCCGGGGGCCCGGGTGTGTGTCCGTGTGCGGACAAGCCCGGCGTGTTCACCGGTCACGGGAATTCGTCACCTCTGCCTGGTTCCCGCTCACTTTCGTTTATTTATTTTTGCCTCGGTGACAAGGACACACTTCCCTTTTTCAACGCCACGTCGATCAGACAATTCACTCTTTTTCTTTTTCTAGTTTGCTCTGCCGGGATCATTACAGCAAATTATAAAGGGGAAACCAACGAAAGATGCAAAGAATAGAGGCAGATTTTTTTTTTCGAAGAAAGCTATTGAATGTATGTATGTATGTATGTATGTATGTATGTAAAAGATACAAAGAATAGAGGCAGATTTTTTTTTTCGAAGAAAGCTATTGAATTTATGTATGTATGTATGTATGTATGTATGTATGTATGTATGTATGTATGTATGTATATTTTGATTAAAACCACTTTTGTGTTTCGGCTCTTCATAAACTGTACCTGGGTCCAGTATTCCATGCACGACCTCACTATCTGCAGAGAACACGAGATTCGAGGGGACTTAAAACTAAATCTGTGGACCCCAAACCCAGCACAGAGTCCGCGGATTTCGACCTCACTGTCGCTCAGGCAGTTCGGACAACTTCGGAAAGGTAACAATTATTTAAATGTGCTTCCTTCGCTGTTCTGGAGGCGTATACATAAACTGTCCCAATCCTAAACGTCCGAAACTATGAACAGAACAAGAATCATAGCTGCGGAGACCATGTGGAAGTCCCTCTCCCAAGTCAGCTGCCAAAGGTCACACAGCAGGAAAGGAACCATCCAGAAGAGTGGCGAGAAACACATAGAAGGCGAGCCAGGTACGTGGTGTTTATAATTTACGACAAGGAAAACCTTCATTTCAAACAGGAATTACGACATGCCAGGAGCATGGATCATAAGGAAAAATATGTCATTTGGAGGGTGATGTAACTTTCTTAAAATGCGGAAACATATTCTCCCTTTAGTTAAGTGCTTTAAGTAGGGTTTTACTGTAAGTGCTCTAACGAGGGTTTTACTTTAAAACTAATACGTGATGAAAGTAAAAGTTTCAACGGATTCAAAAGCCTGAGCCTTCCCTCCTACTTTCTAGGGAGAATAACCACGGAGGGTTTCGAGTACAGCCCGTGCCCATATGAGCATATGCGTCTTCCTGTCGATGCACGCGTATCTGCTGGCGTGTGCTTAAAACTACGTGGCAGTGTTTGCCATTTTATTCAAATGGGTTCAACTGTATATGAAATTCCTGCAGCACTGGTCCACATCCTTGGCGGAGACTGACATGTTCTTTTTAACAACTACCCTGCATCCTATTGGACAGGTCGCTGTAAAACCCATATTCCTACTGGCGTACTTCTAGGTTAGTTCCAAGTTTTAACTATTACAAAAGAAGATGCAATATACTTTCCTCGAGTGAGAGTTGCATATCTTGTATAAACAGAACTAAAAACGCCTCAAAAAAAAAAAATTCTGGGAGGAGGGGAGAGAGAGAGAGAGCAAAGTAGGAGACCACAACGCAGGTCTCGAAAATTATTATTTCACTGACAAAAGAATTTGGGGGCTTCCTACGTTTCCTTGTGCATCTTCACAGCAATTGCCTGGGAGTTCGTATTTTGGCGATTTGCAGCCTATCCCTTATTATCACTTACACACGATACTGAGGGTACACTCTGCGCGGGGCACTGCCCGGACCTGTCGCTGGTATGCAGACAATGACAGGGCACGAACCTGGCCCACGGCGTGCTCGACTGCCCTTGACTGAACAGGGAGGCGGAGCATGGGCACCGGAGCCAGCTGCGAGGCGAAAATCCTGCCCCCATCCCGTTTTGTCACTGTCTTACCAAGAGCCAGCTGACTTCTCGGGGTTCGGATTCCTTCCTTCCCCGTAGGGCACCAACAGGCACAGTGTGTCCAAATTAATGAACGGCAGCTACATCAGAGGACCCGCTGTCGGCTAAAAGGGGTTGTCGTAGAGAGCAGTGCCTGGTGCACGACAAGCTTAAAAAATGCTGCCTCGTATAGAGAGCAGTGTGAGTCACAGAATGACAAAGCCCAGTGAGCCGTCCTCATGCGCCACGTCCACGCAGAACCGGGAGCCCAGAAGGAGCGGTCAGGAACAGTGGAGAGAGGAAGGAGGGCCAGGCGGGGCTGGAGGAGGAGACCAAGACGAATAAATGGAGAGAATGTTGTGTGCATTCCAAAGGTGGGGAGGGGCCCTAGAGGAAGCCAGCCCATTACCTCGGGGGACGATGACTCAACTAGTGGGAGTTCGCAAAAGGCTGTGTTTGGTCAGGAGGGGGAAATAACTTTAGAGCCGGATACTGCCAAGGAGTCGACCTCTCCAACATCTCAACTCTGTTTATTTAAATAAGAAAATGTTTACTTATTCTTTGCTCTCCATTAATCAACTGAATGGGCCGTTATCACAGGAGTCTAAGTGAATCCCTAACTTAAGAAAGTAGTAGTCTAAAAGTTGATCTCCAAGGCAAATATTTGGAAAGAGAAACACCTGTGTTGCTCTGCGGACCGGTGAATGTTCCAGGCTGCTGTCTGTCTGCAGCCCCTGTGAACCCTACTGAGGCAGAGCGGTAATGCTATCGTCTATGTCATCCATTCATTCACGCGTGCATTCATTCATTCATTCGACATTTGATGGACACCTACCAGTAGCGCCTGGCTCTCTTAAGACAGAAACAACCGTGGCGAGCAGAGAGAAGCAAGGTCTGTCCTCTCATCAGGAGGCTCCTAGGTCCGTGCAGGGGTGGAGACCAACGAGGGACACGGAGCGCAAAAGTAAACCGAGAGCTGAGTGACGTTCCTCCGGACAGTGAAAAGTGCGGTGAAGAAAGCGAGCGTCACCACGGGGTAGAAGGCCGCTCTGAGGAAGGGACTCCTGGACGGCACGGCAGTGACGAGGCGGCAGATCGACGGCAGAGAGGACAGTGGGAACGAGGATGACACGGCCGGGAAAGGCAAGGCAGAGAGAGAGGGGGTCAGAGAGGCCGGGCCGGAGCGGGCGGAAAGTGCCCGGGGCGGTGCTTCCTGCACGAAAAGTGATTTTGAATTCCCGCTTTGGACATCAAACACACGTCTCCCCCGTCCTTCTGCAGGCTGCGGTTTTTTTGTTGGCAGAGACTGCCAGAGGCTGAGCAGCTCCTCAGCTGTTGACGCAAAATGCTTGAGGGTGGGTAGGGGCCCCAGAAGCAGCCGGGGCCTGCGGCTCTTACTCCCAGATCCAGGATGGGGCCTTGGGATCCAAAGAGACTGAAGAGAGAACAGTGGGTGAAGGGTAACCACGGGGTCCTAGCTCCAGGACCAACGGAGACGCATCTGGGGAGCGGGGCTGGGGGATTTCAATCCATCTTCAGCAGAATTTTAGTATTAATTTAGCTCAATTAAGGGAAAGATCCCTGCCTGTTGTCAGCTTGTCTGTGAGCTTCCAAATTAGCACTTTGGGCAAAATCGACTTGGGAATAGCAGAAAATCCAAGGGTGAGCTATGACAGCTGCTGGTGCAGAACCAACTTCTTAAGATTTATGTAAAAAACAAACCACCACAACAACGAAGCACGCCATCCCAGGAAATGTCCCACGGGGTCATTCCGAGAAGCAAAACAAAACCACTGATGGGTGGAAAATTAATCTCAGCTATTATGACGATTTTTAAAGAGATTTTACCATTGCATTTGGGGGGGGGCGCTCATTTTTAAATGGTTAATCTTTAAAGTCACCATGCATATTACAGTATCAAAATAAATTGTGACTGATGATAATTAAAAAGAGGCAGTTTAAGAAATCTCTGTTTTTCTAAGCCACGTTTCAACAAAATGTTTCTGCTATTAAAATTTTGCCCTCTTATACGAATGTTGAAGATAATAAGTAAGTTGCTCTGGAGATACGAAAGTTTACATTTTTTTCTCATTTGTCATTTAGTAGCATGGATTAATACGCCAGTTTATGTCTGACATCAGATTTCTTTACTCTTAAAATAATAAGACCAAATGTTTCCACGCGGTCATACTGCTTCCTTCAAAAAGGATGATTATTCCACACTCAGAGAGGGTGAACTCAATAAACTTGACCACAAATTCAAGGTTATTTTGAACATTTCAGAGATAGTCGTTTTAGGGCAAACCATCAGCACTTAGATCAATGATGTTATACTTAATATACCACATAAATCCTATTCTACCATTATTTCTAAGGAAGATGAACACTCATCTTCCTTAGAAATAACTACATTGTATTTCTGGGTTTGGAACACACAGATTGTTACGCTCATTGGCAACAGCACATCTATCTGCCATTAGAATGCGATTTTTTGTTAAAATCCTTCTATGTGCAGCAACACAGAAAAAAACACTGGTTATTTGGGGGAATAAAGCATTATTTATAAAGACAAAGAGCTAAGACCAGAAGCTCAGAACTCTCAGAGCGTAGTATTATCTGTACTGGAATCCTTTGAGAGGAGAATAATTATAAGATACTGTTCCCACTCTCAAGAGGAGGTATAGGTCTTTGAAATGTTTACTAACTTACTGAACTATCCTTATGCTTTACATTACTCGAGTTTAAATGTTCATGTGTGTGAAAATGCTTTGATTTGGGGGCAGTTTTATTATGCCTGTAATTCCGACTAAAATCCTGTCTATTATTTTTTCAGTGACCATCTAAATTAAGAATGAGTGGAACGACCTTCCTTCCCAGGAATAGGAAAATGGAAAATGCTACTCATTCAACAAACCAATTTGTCAATCTGAACGAAGCGCCTCCGTGTCAATTCCCGACTGGTCTCTCCAATAATTTTTTTAAACTCACCGGGACAGACGGAGGAAAAAAAAAACAACTAAAATCCAATGGTGTAATTAGTGGTTTGGAGGCTTGGAATAAAAACAACATGTAATGACCAAACCCTTAACAAGAGGGTCACCAGCACGGTCATATAACTCTGTGGAGTTATCAAAGTAACATATTTCAATTCAGCATCTGCGTCAACTGTTTTTTTCTCCATGTCGGCGTCTAGTTGCAAGTCATTTTATCTCTATTATTGTTTTAAAATTCATGTCATCTTCAGTCTAATGAGTCCTATCACTTTAACCTTTCTATAATAGTTTTTTAATGTTTAATGTGCTTTAAAATGGACAAAGTTATATTAAAAAAAATAAACCGCTTGCCAAGATGCACTTTATTAAAAAAAAAAAAAAATTATAATTGCCTGAAATGATAAACGTAACTCCCGAAGTTAATTTTGCTCCGGCCTGGATGTGGCCCAGAAATTAATGAATTAATCTTTGCGTATTTACGGGGAGTAGGAAAATGAGAACGGAAAATGTCCCTAAATTTAGAGGAGAGAAACTGAAATGCAGAGAGATGAGCAGCTCGCAGAGCAGTTTTATAGCGACATGTCTACTCCCCTCCCTTCCCACCACCATAGCTGCAAGGAAGAAGAATTTACAAGGCAGATCTGCAAATCATGAGTCAGGGTATGATTCCGGCATCTTTGAGTTTAACAAGCAAAAAACCCGGAGCCTGATATTTATTGAACTGCATGCCTGCCTTTTCTTGGTTTCTCGTTCCCAATACATTTTATGGCAGGATGTTTCAATTTGTGAATTCTAGGCAGTCTGCTCTCTAATGACACTCCAGACTGGGTTTAAAGCTTTCTGACATTTAAAAATGTTTACTTTGGGTCTCTAAAAATCACAGGGAAAAAAGCTCCCCTTCTATAAAAATGCCGATCTGTTGCACTTTCAAAGAACAATAGGAAAAGTCCTTAGGTGACGAATCTGAGTCTTTTCTTGTGACAGAATCCGACAGGCCTCAGAGGTGGTGCAGATTCTGTCCCAGACAATGACAACACAGCCACTCTATCAACAGAGCACATTCCACGAATTTTTGGGTCTCCTAGTGCATATAGGAGCTATATTTACACTACACTGTAGTGTATTAAGTGTGTATTAGCATCACGTCTAAAAAAAATGTGTATACCTTAATTAAAAAGTACTTTATGGCTAAAAAAACGAAATGCTTTTTGCTAAAAAACCATCACCTGAGCTTTCAGCGAGCCGTAATCTTTTTGCTGGTGGACAGTCCCGCCTCGATGTTGGTGGCCGCTGACCGATCACGGTGCTGGCGGCTGGAGAAGGCTGGGGTGGCCGCTGGCAATTTCTTAAAAATAAGACAACGATGAAGTCTGCCACATCGACTGACCCTTCGTTTCACAGACGATGTCTCAGAGATCACCGATCAGAGATCGTCATAATAAATACAATGCACGCACGAGACCTCCTGGGACAGCTGGCCTACGGCACGCTGACCACGAAGAGTGACATATGTGGGGAACACTCGCGATCTGTCTGAATTACATTTCCAGCTTTTGACCGTGAAGAGCTGTCCTCAGCACGCACGTCGGGATGCTTTTGGGAAGAAGTCAGAGACTCCTCTAGCCATTTGTCACTGAGAGAGAAAAATCATACCTTAAACAAACCAACAGCGGCGCAGTGTACCTCCTCTCGGAAACATTTTGTTAGGTCTGCGCAGCCCACCTGAGAGCACAGGCAGGCCACAGGCTGGGAGGGCAGTGAGCAGCGCAGGTGAGGAGGGCCGCAGGTGAGGAGGGCCGCAGGTGAGGAGGGCCGCAGGCTCTCGCTGGGGCTGGGGCTGGCCCCGAAGCTCGGGGCTGTGCTGTTCTAGGTCTGCCAACCCTCGGGCTCCTGCATTCATTTGTTGATTAGTGTCCATTAGTGCAATTATTATTTTCATCACCACAATCATTAAGTTTTTAAAACTCATTCTATTGATGAGACCAGACGGGAGACAGGCAAAGAGACTTCATTTCAAAAGCCAATTTCGATCATTAGCAGTGGCTGCTAGCGGTCTGAACTGAGGAGAATTCTGGGGCTGAGGATGGCAGGAAAATGCGACCTAATGATTTCCTGCTGTCCATTATGGATGCAGGTCTGTCGGATCCCCAGGGCTGACAGCTCAGGTAGGTCATCAATAAATATTTATTGAAACAATGATTTTATGCAGCATGACTGAGGTCTCTTGGTTAAGAGAAGCTTTAAAAAATTAGGTAACAGACAGTAAATAGCTGTATATCCTTAGAAATGTATTTCTTCATTTATTCATCCACTCAACCTTTCATCTGAAAGACTTCAATAATTCCTTAAGGTGTCTTCCTGATGACATCCTCATGCCCTTCTAAGTCACGTTACTATTAAAATGACCTTTTCTAAAACCGAAAGTGACAAATGAACAAGACAAACAAACAAACAAAAACTCGTAGGCACAGACAACAGTTTAGTGGTTAGCAGAAGGAAAGGGGGGAGGGGGAGGTGGGTGAGGGTAAAGGGGGTCAAACATATGGCGACGGAAGGAAATGTGACTCTGGGTGGAGAACACACAATGCAATATACGGATGATGTATTATTGAATTGTACACTGTGAAATCTATATACTTTTATTAACCAATGTCACCCCAATAAATTTCATTTTAAAATCACCTTTTCTATAATAGTATTATTATAACAGTAAGAATAGAACCATCTCACCCCTAGCTCTTTCTTCTCACTATGAGGGGATGATGGATGGATGGATGGATGGATGAAGGATGGATGGATGGATGGATGGATGGATGAAGGATGGATGGATAGATGGATGGATGGATGGATGGATGGATACGGACGGACGGACGGATGGATGGATGGATGGATGGATAGACGGATGGATGGATAGACGGATGGACGGACGGACAGATGATACATAATAGATAGACAGGCAGGCAGGCAGACAGATAAGAGAACTCTAGATATTCATCTGGGACACGTCGTTAATCAGTTTACTAGTTATTCTCTGGTTTCTGCTCACCTCAGTCACCTTTGCTTTAGCTCAGAAGCCTTCTTGAAAGCTCTGCCTTCATTGTAACACAGAGGCTTGTGTAAAAGACGTTCCCAGTGAGACCCTCGGCAGAGAAAGAATCCCCTGACGTCACTGCACGGAGAGGCATATTGAGACAATGCCTGTTCCTTCATTAAAATCTTTTGCTTGGAGTAAACAGAACAAGTGTCTTAGCGGTGCACAAACTGTCTCCCTCCATCAGAGGAATCACTCTCTATGGCAGCTATGGCCTTACAAAACGTATTTCTTAAATGATAAGATTTGAAAGTCGAAATTATTCCTTGGTCCATGTACTACAGAACGGATGCTGCGTTGGCAGAGGCACATTGCGCATGTCCATCAGAGCTCTTGGGTGACCAGGTGCGTTACCACTGGACGGCAATATTCTGAAAGGAAGTTTTTTAGTCTGAGCAGGAGGTCTCAATAGTGGGCTTAAAATATTCAGTAAGCCACATTGTATGCAGAATTGCTGTCACGCAGGCTTCATTGTTCCATTTACAGAGCACAGGCCATGTAGAATTAGCATAATTCTTAAGGACCCTAGGATTTTCAGAATCATATAGGAGCATGGCTTCAACTTAGAGTCACCAGCTGCAGTAGCCCCTAACGAGAGAATCAACCTGTTCCTTGAAGCTTTGAAGCCAGGCATTGACTTCTCTATCATTTCAAAGTCCTAGAGGGCATCTTCTTTCAATATAAAGCTGTTTCACCGACACTGAAAGTCTGTTTTGTGCAGCCACCTGCATTAATGATCTTAGCGGGATCAGGATGACTTGCTGCTGCTTCTAGATCAGCACCTGCTGCTCACCTTGCATTTCATATTATGGAAATCCTTTCTTTCCTTAACCCCAATGAATCGACCTCCGCCAGCGTCAAACTTCTCTTCTGCGGCTTCCTCACCTCTCAGCCTTCACAGGGTGGAAAAGAATTAGGGCCTTGCTCTGAATTAGACTTTGGCTTAAGGCAACGTTATGGCTGGTCTGATCTTCTATCCAGACCACTAAAACGTTCTCCTTATCAGCAAAGCTGCTTCCCGTTCTTAGCATCCATGCGTTCGCTGAAGTATCACTTTTAATTTTCTTCAAGAACTTTTCCTTTTCATTCACAGCTTGGCTTAGTGGCACAAGAGGCCAAGCGTTAGGCCTAATCCGGCTTTCCACATGCCTTCCCCACTCGGCTTAATCATTCCTAGCTTTTTGATTGAAAGTGAGAGGTGTGTGATTCTTCCTTTCACTTAGAGGCCACTGTAGGGTTATTAACTGGCCTGATTTCAATATCGTTGTGTCTCAGGAAATAGGGAGGCCCGAGAAGAGGGAGCGAGATGGGGGAACAGCTAGCTGGCGGCTCAGTCAGGACACACAGCACTTATCGGTTAGGTTCCCTGTGTCATGTGGGTGCATCTTGTGGGGCCTCCGAACGATTACAATAGCAACACCAAAGACCACCGACCTCAGATCGCCATAATGGATACAATAATGAAGAAAAAGCTTGAACTAGTGTGAGAATTACCAAAATATGACACGGACGCAGAAAGTGAGCAAATATTTTTGGGAAAAGGGTGCCAATGGACTTGCTCTATATAAACCTTCGATTTCTATAAAACACGATATCTTTCAGCACCATAAAGTGGAGTACGATAAAACGAGATATGCCTGTACGTGTGCCTATCAGATAAGCAGGAGGAGCCAAGACTTAGAGACAGCTCAGAAGCAAAAGGAAGTGAGGATTTCAAGATGAAGCAGGTGGTCGACAGTGTAATACGGCAGAAAAGTCTCCTAGGATGAAGACGAATTAGGAAATCATTAGGGCGCTTTATCGAGAGCATTCTCTGAGAGAGGAAGGGATCGATGGAATGGAGATTGCTATATGCAAACGAAAATGAATACGGACACTTGCAGACGTGTAGACAAAAACACAGACGAGCGTCAAAGGCAAAGCAGAGAATCGACCTGGAACGAGATTCCTTCCAGTTCCACCAGCTGAAATTCTAGGTTTACATAAGCCTCTTCCCCAACTAGATTATAAGACTTTGTACCTTTGCACCTAAATTTTCCCAGAGAAATAACAAGGAGCCGCCAAATGCTTAAAAGCAAATGTTCAGAACTGTTCGGCTCAAAGAACGAGCCAAGCTGAGGAACAGAGGACATCATTTTGCTCTCTTGCGGCTTCGAGGCCTTTCCGTTTCCAACAAGCCATACCCCGGGGGCTCGGGGGAGGGTGTCCGGGCTCTGAGCTCAGTGAAGACAGTGGGATCCCCGTGGGGTCATCGCGCG